AAGTTCGGACCCCGTGTCGTCCTCGCGGCGCCTATGGACGCCCGACTGACCGGCTTCCGACAGCAACCGAGATTTGACTGGCGTGTGCTTTTAGTGCGTCCCAGAGACCTTCTACGAGGCCCACGTCCTTTCGCGATATGGTGACTTCGTGTACCGGGTCGCGCTGAAAGCCGTGGCCGTCCGAGCCAGCTTGCACTTTCTCGACCACGATGCTCGACATTGCCTTCTCTGTGATGCGCAAGCCCGTGAAACGTACGATCATCTTCTGGCGCGCTGCCCATACGTCCGAGCGATCGGGTGCGCTTTTGCACCGATGCGTGGCATTTAGCAGATGCAACTCCCGTCGTCGGTCGCTGGCTTTCTCTACGACGACGTCGCCATGCCATACTCGGCCCACAAGTCCTCCATTCGTGCCCTCTGGCCGATCTTACGCGCTTGCGTCTGGTATTGTCTCTGGCTCGAACGTAACAACCGTGTCTTTCGCACGACGCTGACGCAACTTCCCACTGCCGCGCTTGCGATCCGGGCAGCTACTATCGCACAATTGCACGTCCGGCACTTGGCTCGTCGCGCTGTGGTGCCATCTCTTGACGCGTCGCTGGTCACTCTTCGTGACGACCCTTGGTGTGCACGCTACCTAGTCCCTCACACAATCTCGAGTAACGCTTCTCGATGACGCCCCGGCCACGCCTCACGAGCGCATTAGGAAGTCCACCATATCTTTACTGTACATCAATCCTAACAGACAGGTCCCGTGCAGGGTGAGCTCGTAGGAACTTTTGAACGCGAAGCGTTGTTTACCGGTATTTGCGACGACGGCGCGTTGGCCTAGATAAAAGTCAAGGCGCGTCCTTCGCTGCGGTGCGGTGCGCAGACTTTTCCGGACCAACTCGCCGTCGTCGCTTGCTGCAGTCTTCGCGCGCTTTCACGTTCGCACCGAATCGGAAAGCTGCGTCGATTGCTACGTCTTCTTAGCTGTAAATTCGGTCCCTTGCGGTCCATGAGGCTTTCGGATGGAATCGAGCGATGGGATTTGTACTTCTTGACGGCAAACGCTGCGAGATGCGGTGGAAGCCCAGCTGCGCACACCGGCATGTAGCGATGACAACACCACTCGAAGCGTTGAACAATGCTGCAGAGGGACTTGAGCGAGAGCCGCTGGAACCGTTTCGTGAAGTCTCTTGGACGTGTAGTCGCAGTAATGTCGGCAGTAGACCTTGGCGCTTCCCCAGTAATTTTTCGATCGGGTTGAACTCGGGATAGAACTTAGGGAGGAGGTCCATGATGTTGCCGGTACCTTGAAAGACCTTTTCAGGCATCGATCTGAATGGCAAAGTCGGGTTGGTGATCGAGCAAGTTGACCGCGCAGCAAGAGTACGGTTCTTCAGTCGTACAGGGCATCTTCCTGCAATATCCGCGAATCGTTTCAACAAAAAATCACTTTTTTCACAAAGTCCATCGGCCGAGTCTTTTCTCCCATCCATACTAGTACGGACTTCGTTACCAGAACACCACAGAGTGCATTCCTGTGAATGTCGTTTGTATCAATATATCATCTGGACGCATGGATAGTTTGATACGAAACAGAATGCAGGTTGATATCTTTCGCGGCCGTCCAGAGCACCGACACAAGCATTGTGCCCATAAGGTGTCCACCAACATCGACAACATCAAGGCGAGGTAGCGCAGCGAGTGAGGTATCGGACGCCTTTTCGACCACGCAAAGTTTTGTCCCTCCATTTCTCCAAGCCCAACCGAACCTCGCGAGCAGCTCACGCTCGTATCGAGCCATTCGGCGCTTATTCTACAATGCAACTTGTATATTTGGAGTGAGTGTGTCCCCTTCGAAGCGGTCGTCCCGATACGTCACATCGGCACCTCGGCGCGGTTGGCTGGCGTGGAGGCGGTCGATGATAACGCACCGTCACCACCTACCGACAGCTCCATGATCAGCGACAATGGCGTGCATGATAAGCCACACGTCCTAGAATGATCATGCCATCTTGCGCGGTGCCGTTGTTATTGGTGCGTGCCACGCTTGCCACACATGTCGACGGATGTAAGTGCCAAGAAAGGGCGCACCGGATGCGTAACAACACAACGACCACTCTTGACACGGGTCGTTGCACGACACTTAGAATGTCTGGTCAAGGCAAGGCGCTACAAAGCATAGAGCACAACGTGGCGACCAATACGCTTTTCCTATCTAGCAGTACCAGATACTAAATCGGTAAAGATGCATCCCAGCACTCACATTTCCTGCCGTGATAGGCACACCACAACAATGTGAGAGGGGTGGGTAGTCAGTGGAGTAAGACGAACGTTGGGCTCAATAGGGCATGTATGGTCACACCGCGTGTCGCGCCGACGAGTGTACGAAGTGAGTCTACTTGCATTTAGACATAATTTACACTGAGCTGTTTTTGATCGTGGTCTCTCGACTCAAAGCGTGTTGCGACTGACGGCAGCGGCGAGGCTTCGCCGTCGCGAAGGCCGGAATGAGGTGGTCACAAAGCCCGACGCGTGTACATGTTGGCAATATCTGATAACGACGACGGGATACTCAATTGGTCATGTTGGTATCAACGCATGAAAGTGTACAGCCTCAAGTTGCATGCTGGCGCTCTCACTCTACCATACAAAACCGCATAAAATGGGATGAAGAGCGCGCCAGTGCCCACGTCATGGCCATAGACTGGGCTGCGCTCGGCCATGTGTATATACTACGTATACACTGATCAACAGATGGCATCGGTGGCATTGTCGAGTGTCGAACGCATCGCGGCGCGGCGATGGTCTCACTTTTCAATCTTCCGTGATGAAGCTACTCCTCACGGCTGCACTCTGCGCGCTCTCGTCCTTTGTTGCTGGCGACGACAGTGGTGTCGTCCACTACGTGCGCGGCCTCGAGGTGCTGCCGGGTGACCGCGACCTCGCCGAAGTCGCCGTGACGTTGGCGCTGCATCAAGGCGTCAACAACGACATTGCCAAGGACTTTCGCGACATTGCGCTCAACGGCCTCTCGCAGAACGCGACGGCGCGCGTGATCCAGCACATCCAGCAAGCCAGTGGCCCCCTCTCGGCCGACGACATCCAGCGCATTTGGACGACGGCGACGGGGCCAAGTGCGGGCAGCGCCTTCACGGGCAACCACAGCATCGCGCTCGACCTCCAGAGCATCGCCAAGGACGGTGTGACGCCCGAGAACGGCAATAGTCTCATGAAGAACATCAACCAAGCCATCGAGCTCGGTCAAATCGCTAAGTCGGACGGCCCGGGCCTCCTCAACTCGATCCAAGACATCATCAAGAGCGGCGCCAACGTCAAGAACGGTGCCGACATCGTCGACCAAGTGCAAACGATCTTGAGCAAGGTCACGGGCGTGTTTGACCCGGAGCCCGTCGTGTGCCGTCGTCAAGGCGTCGGTCGCGGCGTCGGCACGGTCCTCGAAAACCAGTGCCTTCCCGGCGAGGAGGCCTGGGGCGCGCTCTGCTACCCCAAGTGCAAGGAAGGCTACGAGTCGGTGGGCTGCTGCATCTGCCGCAAGAAGGGCTGCGGCGGCGTCAAGGGCGCGACTGACATTGGTGTCTCGTGCGCCAAGCCGTCGGCGTACGGTCGTGGCGTCGGCTACGCGATCGGGAACGAAGGCAAGTGCAAGCGTGAGAACGGCCAGGGCTGCGAGAAGAACGGTGCGATGTGGTACCCGAAATGCGAGAAGGGTTTCCACAACGTCGGCTGCTGCGTCTGCTCGCCCGACTGCCCCGCGGGGTTCGTCGACGACGGCGCGTTCTGCCGCAAGGACAGTTACGGTCGCGGTGTCGGTGTGTCGCGCCTCGGGTGCCCCAAGCATCTCGAAAAGAGCGGTCTCTTCTGCTATCCGCCGTGCGCTGGCAACCAAGTCGGTGTCGGTCCCGTGTGCTGGCCCCGGTGCGTGAACCCTGCCGGTACCGACTGCGGCCTCTTCTGCACGTCCAGCGTCGCCACGTGCGTCAACACCGTCGTCGACATTGGTGGCCAATCGGCCAAGGTGACGCTTAGCTTGGTGGCCCAGGACTACACTGGCGCGATCAAGACCGCCGTCCAGACGGGCGGCAAGTACATCAGCTTGGACAAGTGCCCCAAGTAGAGTCAAGCATTGCTTGAGTTGTCGTGGACAATCTTGTCGTTTTGTCAACCCATTGAATGTAAACGGGTTGAAACGAGTAAACTCATTTGGATTGTTTGTTGTCGCTTGTTAAAATGCATCAACCCGTCATTGTTGTAGCAATGCCACACATGACCTTGGTGTTAGCTTTACTTATGACCTCAATTGCGCCTAGTCCAGATGCAATAAGTTGCAGTGTCAGTTAGATCTTAGTCTTATTAGCTTTCATTGGTTTTGCAGATACATGTATATTTGTGATTAGCCACATGTTTCTTCATTCACAAACGACGGCTCGCCGTTGGCATGATGAAAGAAGAGACGGCGGGTGATTCCGCGTTGCATCGGCGTTCGAGGCGTCGAGCCATCGGCGAGCCTCTGGTTTTGGCACTACACATGTGCGTGGGACCTTGCCGTCAACGATCGAGTCGGCGCGACACATTCCTTGTCAGCTCCACTAGACCAGTGTATTTCGTGCACGCTTGAGCTACGACAGTGCCGTCGTAGGTAGTTGAGTGCTCAATGCTACTGTGAATTGGACTCTCGATAACGCTGTATACACCGCATTGCTGGATCGCATGGATGGATAAATTTGTATGCTTGCATTCGGATTGGCTAGAATGCTGCATTGGATTCTAGGTGGGAAATGAATCCACACGCGAGCTTATCGCGTGAGGACCTGTCTCTTTGTATGTGTGAAAATAGAGATACGCGGTAGTTCACGTGAAAATCACCCGAGCCAGCTGTGTGAAATGTGGCATTGCGATCTGCCACAGTTTACATTTGGGCAACCCACACAGCTAGATTCATCTAATTGATAACGCTACGCTAGTTGAACGAACTCAGTCGGCATCGAAACTTACTTAGGGCACCTGTCGAGCGACAAGTACTTGCCGCCGACTTGGATGAGAGAGCCAATGACACCAATGTAGTCTTGCGAGACGAGCGCCAGCGTGATCTTGGCCGACGACCCGACAATGTCGACGGTTGTGCTCACACACGTCGCGACGGTCGACGTGCAGAAGAGGCCGCAGTCGGCACCGGTGGGCGCTACGCAGTCGGGCCAGCAAAAGGGTCCGACGCCGACTTGGTTGGTAGCGCACGGCGGGTAGCAGAAGAGGCCGCTCTTTTCAAGGTTGGCGGGGCACCCGAGGCGCGAGACGCCGACGCCGCGGCCGTAGCTGTCTTTACTACACTCACCCGCACTGCACTTCTTTCTGCGGCAGATGCAGCAGCCGACCGCCTCGTAGCCTTCCTTGCATTTGGGGTAGCAGAGCGCACCGTAGGCGTCCTCTTTCGTGAAGCACTGGCTCACACCTGGCGACCCGATCCCACGACCGATGGCTTGATGACGACACACTTTGGGGCTGGGGTCCACCTGCACCGCAGCGCGGAGGAGCGCCTCGATCGCACGGACGATCGCCGCGCCGTTGCTCGCGTTGGGGTTTTGGAGGACGTCGCGGATCGCGTGGATGAGTGCGGCAGGATCCTTGACATTGAGTATCCCGCGGTCGATGGCCGACTGGGCACTGTTGAGAAGACTCGCGCCGTTAATCAGTGTGAGGCCGAGGGCTGCGATGTTCTGGAGGTCCAGCGCGATACTGCCGGTACTGCCGTTGGCGCTGAGACTGGAGAGCTCGGGCAGACTGCTGTTGTCCGCGATGCCCCACAGGAGCGCGGGCGATCCTTGGATGGTCTTCGATGCGGCTTCCGACGCGTCGATTGCAAGGACCGTGGCGACGGCGCAGAGAGCAAAGGCAAGTGTCCACTGCATGCTAAAATGTCAAGACCAAAAGCCGTACGGAGCGACAGGCGACGCGCGCGGGATCTCGATTCGATTTCACCCACCTGCGGATCAGACTCAGATGCCTCGCAGGCGTTGTCGAGAAATGTCGTTGGTGTTGCTGTACGTAAATCCCATCGGAAACTGCGGATTCGAACTCCGGACGCCTCGTGCGATGACGCAAAGGCGTCAAGACGACATGTAATGGCATGTGGCATGCATCGCTCGTCGGTCGCCCTGACGGTGCGGCACTGCACATTTCGGTAAACTTGGAAGGAATACGGAGCGTTAGCATGACACGCGCCACCTTGGATACATTCGTTGCATTGCATGCTCAGGATAGCAGGCGTGGAAGAAGTTGTGCTGGTCTGCAGTTGGAGGTTGCTATGTTCTTGACTCCTTCTGCGGCCATAGATTGAGCGTCCGAGCTTCAAGTCGGCTAGTACTTCTCGCGTGCCGCGATGGACGATGAACGATGGCAACTGCAATCGTACCCTTGGAATTGATGTTCGTGATCACTCGCGGAGGTGCTGGCTCTTCCACTTGTACAGACCGCGTCACACAGCGGAGTCGGGCGATACCCTAGCCCTACATCCGTCATTTCAGCGACCAACTAATGGTAGTACAGCACGCAGCAGCTACGAACAAGGTCATTGGCATGGATGTAGTATTGCCACCCCCACTGGGAGGATTCGATTGCTCGGCGCCATTGGCCTCACACCCATCATCTTGCTACAATCAACCCGACCCGATGCCTTGGCGACGACACACTTTTGGGTTCGACTCTACGAGGCACGCGACATTCAAAATAAGACCTGGGATCGCACTGAGACGATCGTCGACCCGTTGGTCTAGTTGAGGTTTTAGAGGATGTCACGGGTCGCGTTGATATGTCCTGGACAACGAGCGTTCCGAGATCGATCGCCAATTGGACGTTGGTAAGAAAGCTCGCGCCATTGGTCGGTGTGAGGCCGTGGGTGGCGATGCTCTGGAGGTCGAGCGCGATGCTGCCGTAGACGGAAATGCCCGAAAGTACCGAGAGACCACCGTTGTGCGCAGTCGCCCATACCCGCGCCATCTCGGCGTCCGAGAGCATGGGCGACTCTTGAATGGGCTGGGTGGCGGCGGCCGTGTTGTTGCGAGTGAGGCCATGCTCCATTGTGTTGCGCAAGTCGGTGGCGATCGCAAACGATGCAGCGTCGAGCGAATCGGCTGCAAACACCGACACGAGCGCGCAGAGGACAAGAACGAGTGGCAACTGCATTGGAAAGGGCAGAAGGAGGCTCTGGCCGCCGAGGGGAGGCATCGATCCACCCACGTCTCGTCGATTAGACTCGGATGCGTCGTTTGCGTCGACGAGAAAGCGATGCAAGATGGACCTTGGTCGTCCAGAGCGAGACTACCTGCTCTCGCCGCCGCTTCCTCAAACCCCAATGACGGCAAGGCTATAGTCCACACTCGCTGGGGATATATCGCTCGTTGTCTCTTGTGGCGCGTTGACTCTGCGCACCGTCCGAACACACCGACTCAGATGGCTTCCTTTGGCACACTAGAATTGCCATCGGTTCAATCTGATTTTGGTCCCACCAACAACGCCCTGCGTCTTCTCGCACGCCTCGCTCGTCACTCGAGACGTGGTGCAGCTCGCATCGAGGTACCTGTTTAAAAGTACGATGCGCAGAGCTGCTCTTTCGACTCTCTCCACAGGTACGGCCTGCTCACCGAGCCATCGCCTAGCCCTAGCAGCATGCGGGACTCTTGGAGTAATCGCGGCAGCCAGGAATCTACTTCGACTACGTAGCTATTACCGTGTGCGTGCGTGAAGGTGTGCCGCAACGAAAATGAAAAGGATGGTGAAGCCAGGATTTCCTGCTGCCAGAGTCGAGTGCTGGCGTCGAGCCCGCCCGACGACGACCATTGGCCGACACTGCCCATGACTGCCCGACGAGGATCGCTCTCTTCCTCATTACTTTCGCGTTACGCCGCTGAACCGACGTCGGTCGCGCATGTCGCGTCGCCGGTATGTGCACCCGCGTCGAGACCCACGTCCACAAACTAATCGACTTGCCGACGACTAGACTGCATCGAGAATTCCTAAAAGTACCGTAGACGCCTCGTAGATTAGCAAAACGACGAGGCCATCAGGACGCGACCATCAAGCGTCGTTGGTGGTTGTGACGTGCGCCTGGCGATCGTCGCCGGACGGTTCCGCCGAAGGTGCTCAGTCTCGGGCGGCGCGTTTGATTGGTCCGTCGCGCCAGGTGGCACTGGCCACCTCATCGCGTCGCCGTCGAACCCCGGGGCACAGAGGCTTTTTGGAGCTATCGATATCTTGTGTGCCCCGGGCCACCATCACGCGGTGATCCAGCTCGTGGTCGAGCACTTGGCGAGATGAGCAGTGGTCGTAGCTGGCAGTGTCTCGAGCACAGGGGCACGGACGTGGCCGGCAGAGGCTTTGCCAAGTGGGCGAAGGCTGCGCTCAACGACGCATTCGATGTCATGTGCATCTCGCCCAGCGCGGTCGCGAGCTCGTGCGCGTGGTTCAACACCAAGACCGAGTGTGCTGCCGTGGACCCAAATGGCCTCGCCACCATCACGTGCGCCGACTACTCGACGACCAAGTCGGGCTGGTGCAACGACCTGCGCCAGCAGATCATGAACGGGTCGGCGCCCATGCCGATCACGCCCACCAACAACGCGACCGAGTCCATCCTGCCCGTGCTCTCCAACGCGTGGACGTGCTCGACGTTTGCGCCGACGCAGGTGGCGCTCACCACGATCGACGCGGTCGCAGGCGTCGAGTGTCTCGCTGCGTCGGCGACCGAGTGCACATGGTTTCCGTCGTCGAAAGACTGCTGGACACATGCGCTGCAACTGACCAACGGAACAGGCCCGGGCCTCCGCTGCGCCGCGGTGCTCAAGGACCCGCCGCCGTCGCCGCCCTCGACCACGTACCGCTGGTGCCAATCGGTGCTGTCCTCGTTCGCCAACAACACGGCCAACGCCACGACGTTGCCGCCGTCGACGAGCGGAGCGTCGCGTACGTCCTCTGGCGCGTGGCTATCATCTCACCATCATCGTCATCCTGTCTAGTGTCAACGACGACGATCCTCCTCATCGTGCTCGCCTGCGTCGTCTTCATCGGGAGCCTCGCCTTCTTTGCGCACATGCGGCGGCAGTACCACCGGTCGCTCTCATCCAGCAGCCTCTACGACACGCCCAAGCAGATGCTTACGATCGAGTACCCGTCCTCCGAGACGCACGCCGACCGCCCACCCGGTTTCGACGAGCCGAAGGAGTCGCTCGTCCATGACAGTCTCCCGCCGACGGCCGCCGTCGTCAATCGGCCGCGCGACGCGGGCATCGCCGGGTCCTTCTCATCCGGTGGCAGCGTCCGCAACGACACCATCCTCGGCATCTCGCTCGACATGGGCGACCTCGCGCTCTGGCGTCTCGACGAGACACAGCTCGTCCACGTCAAGACGCTCGCGACCGGAGCCAACGGCGTCGTGTCGCTCGGTCTGTACAAGCAGACGCAGCACGTGGCCATTAAGAAGCAGCTCGGCGAGATCACGCCGGAGAGCGTCCAGTCGTTCATCGACGAGATCAAGCTCAGTTCTCGGTAGTCTCTTCTCCAATTTTCGCCATCTCACCATGAACCGCCGCTAGGCTCGAGAGCCCGTACATTGTGCAGTTTATCGGCGCGAGCTGGGTGCGGCCGCGCAACATCGAGATGATCGTCGAGTACATGGAAGGCGGCGACCTCCGCGGGCTCTTGCTGCGCGAGCCTGACACGCCGCAGAGCTGGCCCAAGCGCAAGCTCCAGATCGCCCTCGACGTCCTCGACGGGCTCTTGTACCTCCACTCAATGGACATTGTGCATCGCGATCTCAAGGCCCGGAACGTCCTGCTCACGAGCAGCCTCCGCGCCAAGCTCACGGACTTTGGCGTCTCGCGCCAAGTGAGCGACCACGGTACCATGACCATGGGCGTCGGCACCTTCCGCTGGACCGCCCCCGAGGTCTTTCGCAACCAAAAGTACACGGTCGCCGCCGACATTTACTCGTTCGGGATGGTCCTCGTCGAGCTCGCAACCCACGATGTGCCGTACGCGCAGCTCACAGAGATGTCCAACTTTGCCCTCATGCAAGCGCTCCGGGACGGCCAGCACCAGCCTGCGCCGTACCGCTTGGAGGCGACCGGCGACTGCCCCGACTACGTCCACGCGCTCATCGTGGCATGCACGAAGGACGACCCGTCGGCACGGCCGAGCGCCATGGACGTCGGGTCCCTTCTGCGGCAACACCTCCCGGCCCAGTACTGCTTATAAGCGGCGTATTTAACCTCTCCACTGACAATGATCACTTGCTGAGCGTCATTGGCCTCGAGCGCGGTTAGGGCTCGCTTGGGATCGCAGTATCAACTGTGACAGGTTTTGATACGCCGTGGTAATTGAGTGAAGACTGCCACCTCTAATAATGAATAAACAAATCTATTCTTCTTGACAGAATATCGAAATAGAAAGGTGTATAGTGCAATGTGGGCTCGGGCTGGTCGGCCGCGTGTCGCAGGCGATGTGCTCCGTCGCGCGAGCCGCAGTTTCCGTGCCACATGACCGCCTCTGTGACCGCCTGCTTGGCCCTGCGGCAAGGCGTCTTTGGCCTCATAAGACAGCGATCGAGCGCCATCGAGTGCCTTGCGAGCGATAGCAGCACCTCGTCTTGCAGGCGCCTGCCCACCTTGCAGCGCTGCGAGGCGCTTGAGACCGCGCCGCCAGTCGCGCCTTGGGTGACACTCGCCTGCGCCGACGAGCCATTCGCGTGCGCGCAGCTTGCGCACAAGGGTACGTATTGGTGTCTCAAGCGGGTTTTACAGGCAGCGTAGACCTCGTGCGACACCTGAGTAACGCCACGGCGACGCCGACCGTCACTGTCACCATCGCCCGACCCGACACGGTCTCGGACCAGAGCTTTTTGCCAACGATCGCACTCAGCGTCGCCCTTGCGCTGGCTTGCGTCCTCCTTCTGTTTGTGGTGCGGCGCCGCTTTTTGCAGTCGCCGGTGGAGACGGACAGTCTTGTCGTGCTCTCAACCGAGAAGCACCGCGTAGTGCTGACGCCGCCGATACTGCACTCAACAGCGTTTGCCGAGACGCTTGCCGTCGACATGGGCGACGTCGTACTCTATCGCATCGATGCCGCCAAAGTGTCGGCGACGGCGACGACGCTCGCGGCCGGCGAGTTCACCGACGTCGTGCTCGGCTCGTACTATCAAGGGTCGCCCGTCGCCATCAAACGGCTCTCGCCCAATTGCAAGCGAGATCGCGCGCTCGTCATTATCAACCTCCAGCACGAGCTGCTTCTGCATTCCGCGTACGCCTCGATCGCACACGCGCACTTTACATCGTACTCTGACTAGGATGGCGAGCCCATATCTTGTCCACATCCTCGGCTGTACGTGGGTTCGGCGCTTCGACTTGGCGCTCGTCAAGGAGTACATGGCAGGCGGCGACCTCCGATCGCTCTATCAGCGGCAGCGGCTCGACGTACCCACGCAGCTTCGCATCGCGAAGGACATTGCCATGGGATTGCGGCATCTGCACACGCTCTCGCTGCGACACACCCGGCTCTCGTCGTCGCACGTGCTTGTCGACTTGAACGGCCACGCCAAGCTCATCGGTCATGGCCTCGACGGCAGCGGCGACGAGCTTTTCTTGGGCTCCGAGCGCTTCCGCTGGATCGCGCCGGAGGTGCTGCACGGCGAATGCGTGACCGAGGCGGCAGATGTGTATGCGTTCGGGACGCTCCTCTGGGAGATGGACCAGCACGACGCACCCTTCGCCGCCTACCAAGATGCACAAGGATGGACGTCGGCGCAGATGATGGAGAAGGTCCGGCGCAACCGACGGCTCCCGCTGCCCTTCTCGGCCACGTGCCCCCATACGATGCGCGATGTGGCGCTGCAGTGCATGTCGTTCGACCCAAGAGATCGCATGAGTGCCCTCGACATGAGCCTTCGCCTCGATTCTCTCACCATAAATGATGATCCCTGCTACTCGTACAAACCTCGCGCTCGCCACCACCACCACGGAGGGTATAGCTCCTCACGCCGACCTGCTGCTGAGGGTTCGACTCGGGATCATTGAAAGCGTTGTTTGGGGATAGTCAGGATTCAAAGTGGCAGGCAGCGTTGGTGCGCAGGTGTAGTAATCCCATCGTGCAGCCCCCATCGTGCAGCCCCATAGCCTAATGATGCCTCACGTTCCAGATAATCGCCCGAGGACAGGACACGACGGAGCTGTAGCCGTCCGAGATGCTCAAAGCATCACCAATCGTTCGGCGCTCTCGGGCGGCAACGCGATCGGGTCGGTGGTGCGGCTTGGCTGTGCGGCCTCATTGCACTTGGTGCGACACGCGCTGGTGTACACACCCCGTACATCCCACAGTCGTGCCCACCAGGCCAGAATTACCTTAGCCAAGTACTTTTGGTCCTCCATCCTGTCCATTGTACGAAGGAGCGCCCGCTTCCTTTCACGACAAGACACATTTAATATTGAGCAATATTGATGTGGCATGGACCTCGTTGATGGCGGCAATATGCGTCGATCTCGCGTTTGCTCTTGTAGTAGGACTGTACTTGGCTACGCGAATTTGGTGGCAGCCCATTCGGGCATCCGGTCATCCGGTCACTGTAGCCAGGCCGCCGCCAGCTGTCGCCGACGCAGCAATGCATTTCGCGAATGGGATGGGCGCGTGGACGTGCTTGGCGATCGCCGACTCGGCGCACGCAGGCTCCATGGGCCTCTACCGCGTCAACAGTAACGGCAACGTCGAGTGCCAGCGCCACTCGCTCGACGCCGACGAGAACCACTGCTACTGGATCGCCAACGTAGCGTCCTACTGCGCCTGGTACAACGCCAACCCGACAGGGTTCTCGATCGAGTGCACCGACTACAGCAGCCCGAGCAGCTACTGCTACAAGGTGCGACAGATCCTCGCACCACCGTCACCGACGTCGGCACCGACGCCACCGCCAGCACCCGGACCCGCGCCAGGGCCCACACCCGGACCAACACCGGGGCCAACACCGGGGCCAGCACCAGGGCCCGCGCCAGGTCCTGCACCGGGACCTGCACCGGGACCTGCACCGGGACCTGCACCTGCGCCGGATTCGACGCCCAGTCCGGCGTCGGCATCGACGTTGCCGGCGACAAATGAAGCCGGCGGGAATCCTGCACCGACCATGACACCGGCCGCTGGCGGCGCGACGACCAAGCAGCCTGCGCTTCACACGCCAGCACCGTCCAAGGACGCGCTTGTACCGCTTCTGCTTGCAACGAACGAGTGGAGTTGCTTGAAGAACGCCGACTCGAAGCAGTTTACGCCGGCGCGCATTGACCCGGACGTCGGCCAGCTCGAGTGCTTGTCCGTAGCGACCGCGCCGTACGACACGTGTGCATACAGCGCCGACGCCTCCACGTGCGCGCAGTGGCTCCAAAGTGTCCACAGCTGCTGGCTCAGCGAGTCCAAGACGGCCCTGCGCCAGGATGCCACATGCCCGCGGATCATTCTCGTGCCAGCATCGAGCCCCACATCTGGTACGTTTCCACATCTGAACGCTGTCCCATTCACACTGTTTTGAATAGCGGTACATGGCCCGAGCGATGCATCGTCCGGCCCGAACGTGAGCTGGTTGGTCGTCGCCGCCGCCGGTGTCGCGCTCATTGCGCTGATTCTGGTCGTCGTCTGGTACCGTCGGCGGCAGGCCAACTGGGCCAAGGCCGACGAGTCGCCCAACGCGTCCTACATGTTTTGCTGGACCGACAAGGCGCCGCCGAGAGCGCTGGACCTTCCCAAAACCAACAGTCTTGGCAGCGACGACGACGTGGTCGGCGGCCAGCTCAACATGGGCGACCTCGTGCTGTGGCGTCTCGACGAAGCCAAGCTCGCGACATCGCGCGTGCTGAGCGTTGGCGCCTACGGCGTTGTGTCGCTTGGAACGTACCAAGGGTTGCCCGTCGCCATCAAGCAGCTTGCAGGCGAAAAGTCGACGGCCACCGTCCAGGCCTTTATTGACGAGATCCGGCTCATGACCACGTACAGTACACTCTGTGTGCTATCAACTCGACGACGTTGTTGTAGGCTCGAGAGCCAGTACATCGTGCGCTTGCTTGGCTGCGCGTGGGTGCGGCCGCGCGACATCCAGCTTATCGTCGAGTTCATGGACCAAGGCGACCTCCGCCAGCTCCTCGCGGCGTCGCCGGCGCCCTCGTGGAGCGTCAAGGTGCAGCTGGCGCGCGACATGGTCCAGGGCCTCGTCTACTTGCATTCGATGGACATCATCCACCGCGACATCAAATCCCGCAACGTGCTGCTTCACAACGAGGCGCACACGCTTCGCGCCAAGCTCACCGACTTTGGCATCTCGCGCATCGTCGACGTCGACATGACTGCGCGGGTTGGGACGTTCCGATGGACGGCGCCCGAAGTGCTCGAAGGCAGCGCGTACAGCCTCGCCGCCGACGTCTACTCGCTGGGAATGGTGCTCTGGGAGCTCGAGACCCACGCGATTCCTTTTGGCAACGTCCAGAACAACTGGAACGAGTACGAGTGGATCGAGGCGCTCAAGGCCGGCAGCGTTCGACCCGAGTGCTCGCCCGCGTGTCCGCTGGCCGATATCATCTATCAGTGCACGCAGTATACACCCAGTGCCCGCCCGACGGCCCTCGCCCTCGCCACGATGCTTGCTAGCGTCGTGTCGCCCGAGGAGCCCTAGCCCTATTTAATATATTTGGTGCGCTTCGTTCAACCGAAGGAATTTCCGTGACGATGACGCACGGGCATCATTCTTAGCGCGATCTTCGTCACACCGCATCAGTACGTAGTGGCATTACCGGTATCTGCAACAAAGTGTCTTGCCATGGATGACGGTACAGCGAACGCAAGAGGCAGTCCCGAGCAGCCTTGTCGCGCGTCACGCCGGTGGTCACAACGTCTCGGGGAGCGGGCAATATAGACTGGTACCGTGTCGCTCCTGGTAATTTTCTTGGACACTGTGGCTGCAATGACCACTGTCAAGGGTAACAGGTGGTCTGCATCCTCGTGCCACATGGCGCGAAATTGTTTTGAATCACGAAAAAGAAGTTGCGTTTTGTAAGTGCAATGTCGATGGGTTGAAAAAAATGGCGCCGACGTGACTCACAATGGACCGTCGCCGCACCAGGACACTCGTCTTCGTGCACCATGGCTGCAGTCTGGACCTGCGTGGCGACGCCGTCACTCTTTGGCCTCTGGCGCCGCGCCGCCGACGGCGCCCTGCAGTGCGCCCTCGACACGGCGACCATGCGCTGCTACGCCACACCGTCGCCAACGCAGTGCGAGGCTCTGCAATCGCGGTCGCTCGTCGGCAAGGTGTGCGACGCCAGCGAGCTTCAGAACGCCACGTTGCCTTGCGGCCTCGCCCAAGCAGCCGATCCCGGCTCGAAGCCAACAACCCGTGGACATGCGTCCGCAATCTCGCAACGGCAACCACCGCGCTGGTCAAGTCGGACGACAAGAACGCCACCGTCTGCTACTCGATCGACCATGCGGCATGCGTGTGGTCCTCCAGCGCCGCCGACTGCAGCACGCTCCGACAGACGTTGTCTGCGTCTGCGGCGGGTCTCACGTGCGATGACGCTGTGACCCCCAGTACGATGGACCTGGTGCGCCCTGCCAGCAACGACGACGCCATCGTTGAGTACTGATGCGCCTGGCCTGCCTGGTACTCGTAGACATCTCCACAGGATCGACGGTATCTCATGTGGCGGCTCTCTTTGATAGCATCCGCCACGTTCTGGATCATCGTTGCTGGTGTCGCACTGCTCGTCGCCGGCGTCGCCTACGGCATTAGCAAGTGGTGTCCCAAGGCGCGCCGACCCGCACCCGAGACGACCCGTACGGTCCTCGACTCGCGCAAAACGGCCTTTTTCTACCCCGCGGAAAGTCAGTACGACAGCTCGATCGGCGACGACGCGCTCCTGCAAACGGTGGTCGTCCGACCGACCGTCCAGCACCTCGAGTCGCTCACGCTCGGCGCGAAGCTCGAGCTCGGCGACTTGGCGTTCTGGCGCCTCGACGAATCCGAGCTCGTGCCGCTCACGACCCTCTCCGTCGGCACGTAC